CCGACTTTGTCTATAAGAGGATAAAGGCTCGCAACCGGGTAAGAGGCTGACCTGGGCTGACAGGACACCGAGTGGGTGGCAGGCTTGGAGTTCCTGATACAGTCCGTGAGCTCTGGAGCGAGGTCCTGCCTCCTGGCTGACGTGGCTTTGGAAGGCCGGGTGGAAGCCATCACTTGCCCAAGGCCTACTAGATCATTGCCTGTTGTAGGGGAAGTAGCCAGGAGGCCAGTGGCAGGCCTGGCCCTCCTGTCCCCAACATCAACTGCCTACTCGGTGATGGTTGTATACCCTTTTTGTCATAGTGGTCTATAGGAAATATGGGTATAAACTCATTTATAATCACCTCCCTCCCTGTGTAAATTCCCACGAAGACGCTAATGCGGTCCAGAGCACATCACCAATCTCCACTCCCTCTGAGGGGTAGAACAGGAATGGAGACCCTAGGAGGAACCTATAGCGTACAGCTCTGTATGGGGAAGACCCAGTTCCATTTGCAGAGGGAGAGGGGACCATGGTGGGAAATGGGTCAGTCCTGCCCACTGTCATCTGCTGAGCAGTGACACCCCTTCCCCTTGCCAATAGGATCTAGTCCTCCAGGGCTGGCTGAGAGTTCATTGTTAAGTAGGCCCAGGAGCCCAGAGGGGGGTGTCAGCCAGGAGGACAGGCCCATCTGACATCACTCTTGGGATCACTGGTCCATGCTGGGGCCCTGGGAAATGCCTCAGGCTTCGGGAGCCATGTCCAGGGCAGGCAGAACCTAGAACCTCATTCCATGCTGCCTCCTGACCACAGTTGGGACCTGGATCTGGTTCCAGTTCCAGATGGGGCTGCTTTGCTCTTAAGCGGCCTTGCCTGAACATTTTTGTGACGGAGGTTACACTGATCTGTGTGTGTGGCGCACGTGCGTGCATGTGCTCATGCACGTGTGCAGGTTCACTCACACAAAAAGCACACACACACTCAGGAACTCCTGAGGCACAGGTGTAACCACACGTGTTGGCTGATTGCTACACGGAGAGCACTAAAGAGATGTATGAAGCTGTGTGTGCTCCTCTAGGCAGGGGAGCATGGGATTACTGAACGGCGATGAGTTGGGGTGCAGAGCAGATAAGCAGGGTACGACCCTCCATCAGTTTAGCTGGCTAAACCCCCAGCTCTCTCGGCTCCACAGCTAGCAGAGATCCATGGTGTGCCCCGAGGCCTGTACGATGGGCCCGTCCATGAGGTGATGTTACCTGCCAAGCCAGGGAGTGGCACACCAGCTCGTGCATCCTGTCCAGGCAAGATCTCAGTGCCACCCGTGCGTAACCTGCACCAGTCGGGGTTCAGCCTATCTGGTGAGTTGGGTCTGGGCATGGGGTAAGAAACTCTCCTGCCAGGTCCAGTCTGTGCCCAGAGGGCTCTAAGCTCAGCTGGGAACCCAGGCCTGAACATACACAGGGCACATCTCAGGGGTGGACCTGTGGATAGCCAGTGTGGATACTGTAGAGTAGAAGGTACTGACCTTGGTGAAGGGCCTCATTTGGGGTCTTATGAGGGGCAAAGAGGTGTGCACCCCTCCTGTGGAAGCCCATTTGGTCTTGCCTACAGACCAAAGCCTGACCCCCTGGTGTTGCAGGAGCTCCTTCCGCTCCTTCAGCCAATAGCTCCCACTTTCCTCACCTTACTACATTGCTATATTGTCTTTGTTCTCTCCTCTCTCTGCTTGGGAGGTGATAATAGTTCCTGGTCACTTGGTAGGATAAGTTGGAAGTCCTTCAGAATCCAAGATCACTGTGAAGGAGGGGGCAAGCTCCCGCTATCACCAAGGGCCCACACAAAGACCAAATAGGGCAGGATTCCTGGAGGGTTGGCCTTTGCCTTCCTGTCCCCACAGATTGTAGGTCTTTGCTTATACTTTTCAGCCATTCAGATAAGCAGCCTGCCTGGCCACCTTGCCCTATCAGCCATGGCTTTGGGGAGAAAACCCACCCTGGGTACACACTGTATGAGGTTACATAGCTTCTTTATGGTCTTGGTTTAGTGGGTACAGCCAGCCACGTCTACCTTCCCTTTTGGATGGAAAGAGAGCCTTACCCTCCCTCCCATCCTTACCCCACTTACTTGCCCTTTCTTCAGGGTCTCAGGCTGACGATCACATCGCCAGACGTACAGCTCAGAAGATCATGGCACCCCCTGGAGGACGCTCCAACATCACCTCTCTTTCCTAGACTTGGGGTCTGGTGCTTTCCCCACTGGCAGGGTGTGGGGACCACTCACTTTAGTTAGCCTCTTCCTTTGTAGATGTTATCGTGAAAGGTGCTCAGCCTTGCCCTCCTGTACCCCATAAACTCTCCCTTTGGAGTCCCAGATCCCACTAAGAGGTACCCCCTCCAGAGGGCTGAATCCAGGGAGAGTTCACTGCCAGAGAAAGAGGGGACTAGGCATGGCAGTGAGCTGGTGCCTCTTGCCCACCTGGCCTTACCCAGAAGGCCCACCATGAGAATTCTCTGCCTTGAGCCTCTGAGCTTTTGGGGGTCTGGGTCTAGGCAGGGTGGGCATTTGCTGCTGCCTCCCCCTAAGGAATCACTGCCCTGTGGAAGCCCCCCAAGCTTCCACCAGCTCCATGTTTCTAAGGTGCAGCTACCCCTTGGGGGCCTGTCCCCCTGACTGCCCTGGTGTAGGGAGGAGAGCCGGCGAGTGGAGCCTCCGTCTTGTGGAGCTGCTGTGACTTCAGGGATCCATCGGATACTCAGTGCAGGGTCGCTCCCTCCCACATAGACACTTCCAAGGACCAAACCTGAGCTCCTATAGCAGCCCCCTCTAGGGGGTTTTATGATCCCTTAGCTAAGACACTTTCCTTTTCCTACAAACTGTGTTTCCATAGGTTTATTAGAGTAGCAGTTTTGTACTGTGAGGAAACCATAGCCAGGGATCTGCATGCTGCTGTTCCCAGATGCCGGCCACCGGCCACAGGTCAATAAAAAAGTCTGGGTTAGAAGCTGCCTGTGTGTCGCCAGCCAGACTTCCTGCTCTCCCAAGCATTTTCACAGGGACCAGGGAGCCCCTTCTGTAGTTGCCACCTCTGGTCAGCTGCCTGCTGTCTAGCAGAGTGGTCTCTGCCTGCCCTGGGCCACGGGCATGGCTGGATCTGAATGGTGGGAGGTGGGCTTCCTCCTACGGTCTTTGGCTGTGATCCTCAGCCAGATGGTCAGCAGGAGGACAGCCATGTTCTGACTGGCCGGACTCAAACCACTCCAGCTGTGATGAGGCAGTGAACGGAACACTGAGGCGTACTCTGCAAGTGGGATGTGGTGTAACAGGCAGCCCAGGAGACCAGGGCAGCTGCTCATAGCCAGGCCCCATCCCTGGAAGGCAAGTGGCTAGGCAGTTCCTACCAGTGCCTTCTTGCGGTTGGAATTGCTGGGCTAGCCTCCTGGCTGCAGTCTCTTCTCATGGAGGTGGGTGGGTCTCAAGTTCTTTATCTCAGGCAAGGGATCCCCCTAGAAGCAGGAGGTCTTTCCCACACTACTTGTCCCTTCTCCCTCCCCCCCAACAATCCATTCTCATCAGCAGGAGCATGTCCATGGGAGCTGACTGCACTGTGGACATCCAGGGCTGTCATAAAGTTTCTCTGGTCCTAGCAGCAACCCTACTGAAGGCCCAACCTGGCAGCCCTGCCACTGTTTTGGGAGGTCATGTCCTCTGGGCCACATACACATGATTTTTTTTTTTGAGACCCAATCTTATTATGTAGCCTTGGCTGTCTGTAGACCCAACTGGCCTTGAACTTAGAGATCTGCCTGCCTCCCAAGTGCTGATATTCAAGGTGTGCACTACCATACCCAGCAGCTTTAGACTTGAACCCTGGGCTTTGGTCAGCTGTTATGCTCTATGGCAGTGTTTTCTGCTTCCGCCGGCAAGGACAGGGGGGATCAAGGACTCTCCATCCCTGCCACAATCAAAAAGGAGAGTGCGCTCTCACCAAAGTCACCCCTTACACACTTGTACAGACCCCCAGAGTTATTCCCTTGGGTGTGCCTGACCTTGCCAGTTTTTCACTCAGAACCTGGCTACCTGAAGGGGCTGCAAGGAAGTGATAGTGACTTGGGTACTTTGTCCATCCCACCTTTGTGTGCTGTCCATCCGCCTTTGAGTGCCGTGCTGTACTTCCTAGGCGTAGGCTTCACTGGGAGCCCTATGGTTAGCCAGTTCCCCTGGGGGCAGGGGTGGGGTAGAACCAGACAGGGCTCAGAGCTGCCTTCTCAGTCCTGGGGCTTTAGCTCTGTTCTCAGCACAGTCAACAATTCAGACACTGTGGTCACTTCACAGCCTGGCTAGGCAGGAGGACAGCATGTACTGGGGTTTATGGGAACCACAGACATAGGTACAGATTCTTTGTATGGTAACCAGGGTGGCAACTGCCCTGAGAGGGCACCATATGTGACGTGGGAATCTCCCAAGTGAACGCACACAAGCCTGGGAAGCCCTGGGCTGGAGGGGCAGAACTCATCCTCAGACAGGAGAAGACAGGGCAATGGCTTATTCAAAGTGCCTCTCTGACCACAGAGCCCTTGGACAGATGTCATATTTTGGGTTGTGAGCCTCATGCCCAGCCCTGTAGAAGCCATGTTGTCTGGTGCTACTCTGAGGCTCCTCAGCTTTTGACAATTATCGCTTGTCTTGGACCTTGAAATGGCTCTCAGCTGCCCACTTCGGGTTTCTACCAATGCTGGGGTAGCCGCCGCAACCCAGCTGCCCCAGCCCAGTAGACCTTCTCCAGGAAGACTGCAGGCACTGGAGGTCACCACTCCACAGGCAAAGAACATACAGAACAGGCGATGCAGCAGTTCTTAAGACTGTAATTCTCAGAGGTGAAAACTATACACAAATTGCAGAAATTGCCAGAGCAGTGTGTATCTCTAGAAAACATTCTTTGCCATCCCACCCACTCCCTCCCCCAACCCCCGCCCTCAATGACAAATCAGAATCAGCAAGGCCTGTTCCGGTCCCCACAGTCTTGAGCAGCGAGCTCAAGGACATTCTGGCCAGGCCACAGCAAAGACTGGCACAGGGCTATATACAGCCAATTCCAAAAGGGTCCAGAAATTCAAGGGCTCCTGCCCCAACGTACCACTCTGGCCGTCTGTAATCTGCCAGCCTACAATTAGAGGGGCCCACCATCATGATGGCTGCATGACTCCCTCTATGTTGCAAATAACCATGGTCTAGGTACCAAGGGTCCTCCTTTCCCAACCACCACTCTCGACGGGCACCCATGGCTCCCAGCAGTTTCACCATACTGACAGCCTCGCGGGCAGGCTGGGCGGTCAGGCCTTTGCCCCACTGCTGCCTCCTCCTGGCCGTCCTGAGTCTTCAAAGCAGCCTGAGAGAGAACTGCCCTTGGACACGGTCCACTTGGCCTAGCTGCTCCCAGATGAGGGGCAGATGGAGCCACACATGGGCAGGGCTGTGGGCTCTGGCTCACTGTCTGCAGTGGGATCTGTCATATCTGCAGTCTCGGAGCATGGGAGAGGCTCGTTCATGAGTTCCTGGCTCCTCTTCAGCCTGGGGGTGGGGGAGACGACAGCCAAGTGGGTCTATGTAGCCCACCAAATGGCACAGCCTCTCTAGCATCCCAGGACCCACTGATGTAGAATATATGGCTTTTCCTAGGACCCATGGGACATGTCCTTCAGGGATGTGGTATGGGATGCCAGGAATGTCCCTTGTTGGAAGTTCTGGCACATGCTGGGAACACAGGGAGCTAGACCTAGACATGGATGGTGAGACCATTAGAGGTATGGGAGGCTCAGCCCTCTGCTCCTAGCCGCAGGCTCCGCATGGCAGCTCATCCAGAGGAAGCCGAGGGAACTCTAGTTCTAGCTGGGGCCTGTTTCAGTGGGCAGTGCTGGAACAGCTTTTCAAAGAGTATGGCCAAGCCCACAAGTCATCATGTCCTCTAACCACAGGGAGGGGCCAGTGTCCTCAACCAGACCCACATTGCTTATGCATCCTCCCCAGCCTACCACAGAGCCTCTACCTCCGGGAAGACCTCCCTGCTTCCCAGGCAGGGGGAGTGCTGACCCCTCTCTTAGGCCCCACTATACCAGGCTCTCTTCACTGAGGCAGGTGTTAGCAGTCTGTGACCTGTCTTGGCCACTGGCACTAGACACCAAGGAAAGCTTTTCTGAGTGAGTGGCCTAGCAGCAGGTGTGACTAAAGGGGCCTCCAGAAGGTAGCTGGCTCTGGTCTGAGCCAAGTGTGTCCTTGAGATTCTAACCCCTGGATCTGAGTTCACCCAGAATGTCCCCAGGGAGCTCCTGCAGGGGCCTGAGAAGAGGCTGCTCAACTCGACCTCCCATATCCACTGCTGGTCCTTCCCCGAGAGCACGGGCCAGGCCTTCTGGGCCACATGGCTGCTGGGTCATCTCTGTTGTGTAAGCCCTGTGCCCCACTATGGCCCCTCACATACATACACTCACTTTTCTCTGTTAAAAATCACGAAATCTTGCTGGATGGCATCCAGACAGTCTTGCAGGTAGTCATTCTCCTGTGGACAGAAAGACCGCCTCAGTGACTCGTGCTGGACGCCAGGGCCAGTTCCCAAGCGCTGCTCCCACCACTCTCTCCTGAGCTCTGGGAAGGCAACTCCTGGCTCCCAGGGAGCTCTGCTCTTCAGAAGTCCGGATCTCCTACCTCTGAGAGCAGACGTACCTAAGACCAGCTGTCGGTGTGGGCATGGCAGGGCAAAGACACTGCCTCAACTCTCCTGTACTCACTGAACCCGCACCTGGCCCCTGTGTGTGTCCCTTCCCAGAGAATCTGGCAGGGACCCTGAAGGCCCATATTTCTCTCTCAGAACCTCATTTGTGTCTCCCAGCAGCACAGCCAGGCTCAGAGGTGATGGGCTCTGTGTGTGTGTGTCGGGGGGGGGGGGGAAATACAGCACAGCTATCGGGCACCAGTGAGAACCAGGACAGCAGCTTGGGAGAGGGCTGTAGGGCCATGGAAGGGCTGTAAGTCAGAACATGAGACTCAAGAGCCGTGCCTCCAAGAGATTGTCTCCCCTGGCTCGGAATCAGTTTCCTGGTGTGGGTTGGGTTTCAAAACACGACGGTTTTTGGAACTCTGTTTATGGGATTCAAAGGAGATTCTATATCATATTGGAAGAATGCAGGGAAGTGAAAACACATGCCTGGGCAGACTGAAGATTAAAGGCCGAAGGACATACAAGATGGCCATGTTCTACCACAAGGTGGTAAGCAACAAGCTGGGGAGGGGTCCTAGGATAGGAGATATTGCTAGAACCCAACCCCTTGTGCCCATGGTAGTGATGGCGCATCCAAGAAGCCAAAGCCCAGGGGGGCACACTGAGTCAGGAGGAACCTGTGGTGACAGAGCAGCGGAACCTGGAGCTCTTGGTGGTCAGAGAGGTCAGAGTTAGCTAGGCAAAGGCTACCAGCTGCCCAGGGGCAGGAGAAGAGCTGCACGCCTGCTTTCTAGATCCAATATCCTACAACCCTTTACCTGGAAAGGGGTTCAGTCCCCTAAGGGGGAGAACAGCTAGGTTGCAGCAAATGCATGCTGTGGGGAACAGGTACCTACAGCTGTCTCCACAAAGGGGGTGTCTAGTGCTTAAAAGTCTGCTTAGACCTCAAGCCCTGCTCACAGAGCCCAGTGGCCACAGACCCACCCTTTCTCTGGATGCTGAAGGCAAGACCCCGCAAGGCTTTTGGCATCTGTCAATACTGGCTTTCCTGCCAACTCGACCCGTGGGAAGCAGCTGTTATGACGAGGAGTGGGGGAGGCAGATGTAGGTTGAGAATAAAGTGTAAGTTATGCAGATCGGCACATTTGAGGGACCCAGTGTGTAGCACGGTAATAGGAGTTAACAACGCTGTGCTGTGTACTTGAGGTTCCTAAAAGGATAGATTTGGAAATTCAGCCTTTTCCCCAGCTTCGCTTTGATGATTATTTACCATTTTTTGCTTGTAATAACAGAGCAGTTTGTACACCGCAAGTATCTATAGCTTTCAGGCCAATGATTCCTAAATAAAACGGTTTGTAAAATAGCTGTTGTAGGGGGCTTGGGCTCAGTATATAACACATTGCAATGCTGGGAGGCAGAAGCAAGCAGGCAGATCACTGTGAGTTCAAACCCAGCCTGGTCTACAGAACAACCAGGGCAATTACACAGAAAAATCCTGTCTCAAACAAAAAACAGGAAGGAAGGAAGGAAGGAAGGAAGGGAGGGAGGGAGGGAGGGAGGAAGGAAGGAAGGAAGGAAGGAAGGATAAAAACTACAAAACCACATTGCAAAATGCAAGCCTGGGAACTAGAAGTCTGATTCCCAGTAGCAACTTAAAAAGGTAGGTAGGCATGGTAGCCCATCTGTAAGCCCAGTGCTCGAGAGGTAGAGGCAGGGGATTGCCAGGGCAGGCTGGCTAGCTGGACTAGCTGCATCAGTGAGCTCTGGGTTCCTCAAGAAATCATGCCTCAGGAAATAAAGTCAACATAGTGAAAAAGATACAGGACATCAGAATCTGTCCCCTCCCAGTGTACACATGTGCCCACAAACCTGCACACATGTATGCCCCCTCAGAACATTCACATTAAAAAGCAGATGCTATAACAAATACCCCAGGACCAACCAGCCTACACAATTACCAAGAAGCTTGTCACCCAGGCTGAAGTGAGCAAAAACGGCTACAGTCAGAGACATTCATCTTCACCTCTATCTTTCCATTACAGTGTCTCACAGATTTCCCATTCTGTTCATAAGCCATGCCTCAAGAACCAAGTTCCCCTGGGAATAGCCTTCCAGGGTTAAGGATGAGTGGCCATACCTTATACCTTACTGGGGAAGTGGCACAGACCCTGACCTGTTGCTTCACCTGTAGGAGGCAGATGGTTTCTTCATTCCTGTACAATGCCCTCCAGAACTCATCTTGACACCGTGTCAAGGGTAGGCACATAAACCAGATGTTCATGTGTCTGTGTGTCTGTGCGTGTGTCTGTGTGTGCGCACGTGCACATGCTGCTTGGTTCTTTCCTGTGGCTCTGTTCCCTGTCTTGGGGTCTCCTCTCCTTGTATCTACAGCAGGTACAGACCAATCAGTACTTGGCTGAAGGCTTGAGGGGACTCAGAAGCTCTACATATCTCTACAGCTCTCTCCTCTGCATGAGATATCACACTCCAACCTTTTGCCCCACGGCTGTGGCCACCCTGAGAGGGGCCTCCACCCAGCACAGGAACTGACTTTAGTCACTAACAAACAAGACTCTCTGTGTCTCTCTGCGTACTCTCTGATGGTGAGCAGAGAGACAGAAAATTCCAGTCTGAGAAGGCAAAGGCAGTCACAAGCTCAGGCCCCTCAGGGATGAGGGTCTGAATCGCAGCCTTAGACGGGATTCATCCAACCAAACACTGAGACTAGCAGAGGTGTGTTGTGAGGGTGGGAAGGAACCAAACTGGCACTGAGGCAGTGGTGAAAACATCAAGTATCAGCCGTGGCCTTACCATGCGAGCAACACCCTAGCAGGGGCCGTGATCCATCCACTAACCTCCACACTGACACATTCCGAGGAAGACAAGTGCCCAGCGGCCTAAGGAGCCCCTACAAAAACATCTAATAAACGTGTCTCTGAGCTGGGCTGGGGTGGTGCACACCTTTTTGGGAGGCAGAAGCAGGCGCATCTCTATGGTCAAGGCCAGCCTGGTTTACAAAGTAAGTCCCAGGACAGCCGGGATGGTTACACAGAGAAACTCTGTCTTGAAAAACAAACAAAAAAAGTGACTCTGAGTGAGACAAGAGAATTGTGGACTCTGAGTGGCTCCATGAGCCTCTTTCCTACAGACTCTCCTGTCGCTGGCAGTTCTCTCTGTCTTGCCCGGTACTGCTGGACCAGCTTCTTAAGTATTCCAGGTGCTGTCCTCAGGAGGCCTCCTATGGTGTCTTCCTGTGCTGGTTCTACTGGGCCTCTGTGCTGCGTCTCCACGTTCAGCTCTTCCCCAGTGGCCTACAGTGGGTTGTTGGAGCCCTCGCCAATACACCAAAACCTAGGTCAGGTATAGGAGCATGAAAGCTCAGTTCCTGTAGAACTGGTCACATCTGCATCACAGTCCACGCCCTTGCTGGCTCAGGCTGAGGCGCACCGCCTCCCTGACTGCTCCATGCTTACTTAGTGGCTCATATATATGCTCGTGAATCCTCAGGAAGACATCAGCAAGGCTGGATACATGCTCAGCGGCAGGACTAGACTCCAGATGTTGACAAAGAGCCTGGGAAATGGAAACCAGGTCCAACCCCTAACGCTGTTGCAGACAGATGTGTTGAGGAGCTCGGGCGCTGTGCCCAAACTGCTCAGAATTTGCTAGAAATGTAACAGACTCAGACCAGCGCAATCATCTCAAACAAAAAGAACAAAGTGGGAAGAGTTACAATTTCTGGATTCAGCACTGACTTCAAAGTGACAGCCACCATGCCGGATGAGGACAGATCAATGGGCGAAGAAATTAATCCATAAATAAACCCTGCTATTTATAGTCAGATTGATTCTTGAAAATGGTGCCAAGAAGTTCCATGGGAGAAAAATGGGCCTCTCAACATATCTCTGCAACCATCTGATATCCACAATCAAAAGAATAAAGATGAACCCTCCCCCCGACACCACACATAAAAATCAGCTCTGAGTAGATCGCAGACATAAATACGAGACCCGGAGCTAGCAACACACAGGCAAAATTCTCAAGACTACAGGTTCGGTGACTCCCCCACACAAAATACAAGTAGTGGATGCTCCCAGCAGCCCAGCATCAAAGACTCCAGCTGCAGATGACATGCCCACAAAGAAAAGACAGTCTGGCAGGAGAGGCCAGCATATAGCATCATCCATCTGATAAGCATTTGCATCAAAGCGCAAAGAAATAACTCTTAAAATGAAACAAAACCATAAAGATTTCTGCATGGGGTACTGCTCTGTAAACAGCTTCCACATTGCCACTCCTATTCTTTCAGCCAGAAAAAAAAAAGTTGATGTGTTGGAGATCAGAGGCTATTCTTGGACCTGCCAGAGCTGAAGACAGGGAGTCACAGTGCCCCCAAATCTACAGAGGACAACAGAGTCCCTGAGCTGACACTAGTGGATCAAGAGCTGTAGGAGCAATTCCTGGAGGAACCCCGAGGCTGTATTCCTAGGGTACCACCACTCACCCATTCCTTTGTGGGCTTCATTCCAGGAAGCCAAGAAGTATTCATGGAGGACCCAGAAAGGTTCCCCACTTAGAAGAAGAGGAAAGAACTGCCAGGTGAAACACACCCAGAGTCTCCCCTGTAGAAGTGAAATTGGTTGTCCAAGGGAAAATCCACTGTCGTGGGGAGGAGAACTTTCTGAGAGCACACTCTGCTAGCCTTGGCATCACCTGAGGGGAGGGAATGAGCTGGGAAATGTTGGTGAAGGTGCACACGTTAATACAAACTATAGACTCTCCCTACCCGACTTTTGCACTGAGCGAATAGCAGAGCATAGCACATGGTGAACAGTCCTGGCAGGAAGGGACTTCCCACTTGGATGAAGTCATGCTGTCTGAAGGTAAACTTTAATTGGCTAATGGCATATTGCAAATTCTACTACAACCACTGGAAATACTTTTACATTGATTTATGTGTGTGCGTCCACAAACACATGTATCGTGGTGTGTGTATGAAGGTCAGAGGACAACCTTCAGAAATCAGTTCTCTCCCTCCACCATGTGGGTTTCAGGAATCAACCTCAGGCTATCGGGCCTGTCGGCAAGCACTACTCCCCACTGAGCCATCTTGCCAGCCCTCCTAAAACTATATTGGAAGAAGCGTAATTGGTGAGCTGAGGGAGGAGATGGAGGAAGATCATGTCATGCTTCATGAGAAGCAGAGAAGGCGAAGCCGGAAAGGAAAGAACAAGCACGGTTAAGCGGACTGGCTACAAACACAGTAGCCAGGAATCCCAGGACGTCAGCGTGAATGGTGCAAACACATAAACGGAAGACAGATGTGGGTACAAGGGACTTTGAAAGATAATCCAGCTTTAAAAAGGACAGAGAGGGGCAGCTCTCCAATAAGATACATGGTAAGCACAAAAGATGTTCATTAGTCAGTGAAAGGCAGATAAAAAGCAGCCGTGGGAGCTGGGAGTGTAGCATGCACAGAACATTGTGGGGTATGGCAGGGCACACCCCGAATCCCAGCACTTGAGTGGTAGAAGCAGGAGATCAGAAATTCAAGGTCATTCTTGACAAGAAGGTGGGTTTAGGACCAGCCTCGGTTACAAGAGACCCTGTCTCAAAAAAGCAACCAGAAACCCAACAAAGAATGCAAACAAAATACTCCATCAAACCAAACAACAACTACAAAAAAAAACCTAGCTAAAAAACAAAAACAAAATCTTCACTGCTTCATACTCAGTGTGGTGGTTACAACTGAAGCTGCACACTGAACATTCAGAAGCACTGACGAGGACACGAAGCATTAGAACCTCAGATGTGGCCAGTGGGGGCATAACATGGTGCAGCTACTGGAGACGCTATGGTGGGTTCCTGAGAATCGAGGCACAGAGGTGGCACATAAGCCAGATGTCACACTAAGGTCCCTCCCAAGGGAAATGAGAGCATACCCCCACGGGGACCTACACACAAATTTGCAGCAGTGTTAGCAATGAGTCAAGAGCAGAAGTGGCCCAAAGCCCAGTCAGGTGACAAATGGCTGAGGGAAATGTGATATAATCGTGAATAAAATACTAAACAGAAGGGATGTTTCTCACAATCCGAAGAATGGAGGTGCTGGCCTTTAGGACAGTGTGGGTGAGTCTTGAAAACACTGTGTTGAGTGCAATAAGTGTGCAGGACCACACACTATGATTCCATCAAGGTGAACTGTCAGAGCAGGGACATCTACAGGGACCGAGGCGGCTGCCATGCCTGCAGGGGAAGCCTGGAAAAGAGCAGCTGATAAGGGGGGCTGTGGGAGAGCTCTCCACTCAGATTGTAGTGGCAGGTGTGCTGGAAGCCAGCGATGCTGCACTTGGGGGGGGTGTGTGTGTCTGTGTGTGTGTGTCTGTGTGTGTGTGTGTTGTATGCTATGTGCCTGTAAGAAAATAAAAGTATTCATTAAAGTGCCTCAGTCTCGAGGTTCTCAATTTTCCATAAGAATGCTGGACGTTTTCCCAGTGTTAGCCAACTTTCAGAACACGTCCCACCCTCTATCAAAAGCCCACCAACTGCTGCAGGATGGCGCCGAGGTCCGCCCGGTGTAGGCGTCTATCCATTCATAGCCTCCAGAAGTCAGCACAGCAGTTAGTGTCTGTACACTCTCTACATCTGGATTCTCACACTAGGCCCCCACTCCAACATAGAGCCAGTTTCGATTCCCCAAAGCCCTGGTTCTATGCACCCCAGCCAGAACCTCTGCCATCCCTACTCTTGGCACCTGGCCCAGGAGCCATCAGACTGAAACATAACAGACACTGGGGTGCCATGGGCAGTTGGAGGAGAGAGAGAACAGGAGCCCTTCCTACCTATCTGCTTCTGAAAAACCAGGGCATCAAGGGGATAACCCCGGCCCTGTATCCCACGCCCACTCAGAAACAACAGAGCCCATCAGATCTGGGAGGTCATACTCCAGAGAGAGAGGCCCAAGTATAGGGCAAACACTGACCATTGATCACTACCACTCGGACGTCAGCACATGACGGTTGCTCTCGCCAGCTGTACCCTGGCATCAGGAAGGAGACTGTGACTCCCCCTCAAATGTTCAGGATCTAAACCCTCGAACCTGTGGATGTGACTTTACGTGGGATGCTCGGATTGGCAGCTACCCCAGAGCCAGAGAGACGGGGAAGGACTACCTTCTTGGAGGCTTCAGAGAACAGAGCTTTGACATTTTGATTTTGGATACTGGTACCCCTGAGCACTGATGCACCAGGACACTAGTTGCCTGAGCACTAAAGCCCCTGGGCATAGCATCAGGGGCTCTTTGCTCTCAGTGTGTGCCCGCCACTGGTCAGTTGGTCCTCCAGTTGATTGATGTCCAGAAGGAGCAAGCAGCTGAGGGCAGCTGTGACGAAAAGCCAGGTATGACCAGGGATGCTGGTAAGGATAGGGGGAAATCCTAGGCTTCCTTGGGACTTTAGAAGACTACTGCTGGACTAGGGAGCACACGCTCTGCCCAGAGGCCATGCCAGAGTGCTGTGAAGTGACCTTGCACACCACACGCAGGGGTGGGGAAGACCCGCAGCCTGAACCCAGCACTCACAGACTGCGAGCTGTCCCTGCTGCTGTCCCGCGACTTGTTCTTAGCCAACCGCTTTTTCTTTTTGTGCAGAGGCCTCGACTCCAGGATCATCTCTTCCAGCTCGAAGGTGGGGTCACAGTGCAGGCGGCCTTTCTGTGTAGAGACAGGGTACTGAGCCCAGCCTGCAGGTGCCACCCCACCCCACCAGCCTGGGCTTGCCAGTCCCAGCACACGGACTTCTTACATTGGGCACAAAGCCCGGCTCCACCTTCTTCTCGCTCAGGTCATCCCAGAGCACATGGGCCAGTGATGGTGCTGTCTGCATGTCTTGGAGACTGGAAAACCGGTGCTCGGGGTTCACGGTGAGGAGCTGCAAGGAGCCCCCCTCTTAGATGCGTCCCACAGAAGAATGGCCACCTGCCCCAGGTTGAAGCAACCCTTGAAGATGTCCACGGGTCTGAGGCGTTGGAACCTCAGGATCACAAATGGCACGAGAGGAAAGGTGGCATCAAGTAATATGGCCCAAGGGGTTCTGTGATCCCAGTGCCCTGGTGCCCAAGGACAACAGAGGACCTGCAGGGATGTCCTACCAATATTTGCCAGCAGGTGGCAGTGGTAGCCTGGTTAATGTTCTCTGATACTCGCATGTGGGCCCAACTATTGCAAAGCCTCTTATTACCGCATAGAACCTCCAGGCTCCAGAAACCTAGGCATCCACGCTGGATCAGGACATCAAGTCGGTAGGCCTAGGTACCTCTTGTATATAATAACCATTTCTCACACCTGTCCTGACTATGGGCTCTGCTATCTGGCTCCACCCCTTGGAATGCTCCGATCAACAACACATTTAGAGAAAAGTTCATCATGTGATAAGCAACCCGTAGTCCAGTCCCAGGACATATGGTGTCCCTGCATCCCTGATAGCTGTTATCCTCCATCCTCCTTCCAGCAGTTATAGACAGAACCTGGCTGTGGGACAGGGAGGGGGAGATTGGCTTTCTTCTTTGTTTGCTCCCTGGGAGTGGTGACCCCAGTCCCTGTGTACCTTTCAGGGTGGGGACAGGGGCAGAGGAGACAAGAGCACAGTTTGAGCCATGCGCCAGCTCGGTACCCTCTCCCTTCTAAAGGTGTAATGCAGAAGGCTTGATGCCTGAATTCTTTGCCTGGGTCTGAGTATCTTGCGAAGTGGGTGATGGTGACGTCCTAAAGCACGGGTTCCTGACAGGATTACAGACAGGGCTATGTATGCCATTATTTAAGCCACCACAAGGGAGCAGTCAGGTTGTCCGTGAGACGCTTCTGCAGAACTAGAAACCCACTTCGCTGAGCCAGACAGGGTCTCAGAGTGGTTGTCCAGGAAAGGTTATGGCTGTGCTAGGGAAGGAGTCTGTGTCCATGGCAAGATGGGGTACCTCTCTGAGATGCTGACAGAGTGCAGAAGGGATAGGATTCTGCCGGGGGAGGGGGACGAGGAAGGAGGCTCACCTTCCGTAGCAGGGCGACCATCTCCTTGGACCAGGTGGGCACATACTGAACACTCACGGTGCTGAACAGCTGGACAAGCGACTCCACGGCGTTGTTCGAGTGGATGTCATAGGGCCTCTGTGGGCAGGGATGTACTGTACCAGGGGCCCCTTCCTGCCCCTGCACCCTAGCACAAGTGCAAACACCTGGGAGCCCATCTGCACTCCCTGGTAGAGGACCAGCTCTGAAAACAGCAGCTACTTGATCCAGAGCCCAGGATCTAGCTTGCACCAAGACGGAACCAGGTACCACAGCCCAGAAACTCATCTGTCAAGAATATGCATGCCCTACCACCACCAAGACCAAAGGCCTGGGTGGGTCAGTCCCAAAGGACGGGAGGTCCTGTGTTCATCAGACTGGGGTTCCATGGAATGGTGGGGGTACCCCAAGAGAGGATACAGAGGGCAATATGAGGCCTAAGCAGATCAGTATCTCTGTTCTTAGAGAGAGAAAACAAAAAGCAAAGTCCCTTCCAGGGACCTGATGGACACATGTCCTGTCCATCACTGGCCACTCAAGGAGACTCACTTGCTCAGGTATCTATCACACTTTGCTAAAAGCCTGCATCCTCCGAGGTTTGGGTGTACCATCCTCCCTCTCTGGCTCTCAGCCAGTCTGGGGCAAGGAAGTGGCTAGCGTAGGGTCACAAAGTCTCCATACCCATCCACGTAGCAGCTCGTAAGCCATCACCCCCACCGACCACCAGTCCACCTCGAAGGAGTAGCCGGTCCCGCCATTGACGAAGGAGTGGAAGATCTCTGGAGCTTTCCAACAGAGAGAAGAAAGAGCTGAGCTGTGGGGCTAGAGGGCCTGATAACCGGGCAGCTTGCAGCCAAGCCTGGAAAGAAGGCTTCACCGGATCTAAAAGAGAACCTACCCACCATGATTCTGTACTGTTCCACCTGCATGGAGAAGCACCCTCCTGGAGCAGCCCCACAGTAGCTAAAACATTGTGCATAGCTAGACTATTTGGTTCAAACCCAGCTCCTCTGTTCTAGGGAGTGTGCAGGGACGGAGGGGGCCACCTCATATTTCCATCCCATGACTCTCATCTATACCTGCAGAGTTTTCTACACATATCCAATTGATCATATAAAAAAGCCTTTCCTGGGGCTGGAGAGATGGCTCAGCCGTTAAGAGCACTGACTGCTCTTCTAGAGGACCCGGGTTCAGTTCCCAGCACCCACATGGCAGCTCACAACTGTCTNAATACAGCACAGCTATCGGGCACCAGTGAGAACCAGGACAGCAGCTTGGGAGAGGGCTGTAGGGCCATGGAAGGGCTGTAAGTCAGAACATGAGACTCAAGAGCCGTGCCTCCAAGAGATTGTCTCCCCTGGCTCGGAATCAGTTTCCTGGTGTGGGTTGGGTTTCAAAACACGACGGTTTTTGGAACTCTGTTTATGGGATTCAAAGGAGATTCTATATCATATTGGAAGAATGCAGGGAAGTGAAAACACATGCCTGGGCAGACTGAAGATTAAAGGCCGAAGGACATACAAGATGGCCATGTTCTACCACAAGGTGGTAAGCAACAAGCTGGGGAGGGGTCCTAGGATAGGAGATATTGCTAGAACCCAACCCCTTGTGCCCATGGTAGTGATGGCGCATCCAAGAAGCCAAAGCCCAGGGGGGCACACTGAGTCAGGAGGAACCTGTGGTGACAGAGCAGCGGAACCTGGAGCTCTTGGTGGTCAGAGAGGTCAGAGTTAGCTAGGCAAAGGCTACCAGCTGCCCAGGGGCAGGAGAAGAGCTGCACGCCTGCTTTCTAGATCCAATATCCTACAACCCTTTACCTGGAAAGGGGTTCAGTCCCCTAAGGGGGAGAACAGCTAGGTTGCAGCAAATGCATGCTGTGGGGAACAGGTACCTACAGCTGTCTCCACAAAGGGGGTGTCTAGTGCTTAAAAGTCTGCTTAGACCTCAAGCCCTGCTCACAGAGCCCAGTGGCCACAGACCCACCCTTTCTCTGGATGCTGAAGGCAAGACCCCGCAAGGCTTTTGGCATCTGTCAATACTGGCTTTCCTGCCAACTCGACCCGTGGGAAGCAGCTGTTATGACGAGGAGTGGGGGAGGCAGATGTAGGTTGAGAATAAAGTGTAAGTTATGCAGATCGGCACATTTGAGGGACCCAGTGTGTAGCACGGTAATAGGAGTTAACAACGCTGTGCTGTGTACTTGAGGTTCCTAAAAGGATAGATTTGGAAATTCAGCCTTTTCCCCAGCTTCGCTTTGATGATTATTTACCATTTTTTGCTTGTAATAACAGAGCAGTTTGTACACCGCAAGTATCTATAGCTTTCAGGCCAATGATTCCTAAATAAAACGGTTTGTAAAATAGCTGTTGTAGGGGGCTTGGGCTCAGTATATAACACATTGCAATGCTGGGAGGCAGAAGCAAGCAGGCAGATCACTGTGAGTTCAAACCCAGCCTGGTCTACAGAACAACCAGGGCAATTACACAGAAAAATCCTGTCTCAAACAAAAAACAGGAAGGAAGGGAGGGAGGGAGGGAGGGAGGGAGGGAGGGAGGGAGGAAGGAAGGAAGGAAGGAAGGAAGGATAAAAACTACAAAACCACATTGCAAAATGCAAGCCTGGGAACTAGAAGTCTGATTCCCAGTAGCAACTTAAAAAGGTAGGTAGGCATGGTAGCCCATCTGTAAGCCCAGTGCTCGAGAGGTAGAGGCAGGGGATTGCCAGGGCAGGCTGGCTAGCTGGACTAGCTGCATCAGTGAGCTCTGGGTTCCTCAAGAAATCATGCCTCAGGAAATAAAGTCAACATAGTGAAAAAGATACAGGACATCAGAATCTGTCCCCTCCCAGTGTACACATGTGCCCACAAACCTGCACACATGTATGCCCCCTCAGAACATTCACATTAAAAAGCAGATGCTATAACAAATACCCCAGGACCAACCAGCCTACACAATTACCAAGAAGCTTGTCACCCAGGCTGAAGTGAGCAAAAACGGCTACAGTCAGAGACATTCATCTTCACCTCTATCTTTCCATTACAGTGTCTCACAGATTTCCCATTCTGTTCATAAGCCATGCCTCAAGAACCAAGTTCCCCTGGGAATAGCCTTCCAGGGTTAAGGATGAGTGGCCATACCTTATACCTTACTGGGGAAGTGGCACAGACCCTGACCTGTTGCTTCACCTGTAGGAGGCAGATGGTTTCTTCATTCCTGTACAATGCCCTCCAGAACTCATCTTGACACCGTGTCAAGGGTAGGCACATAAACCAGATGTTCATGTGTCTGTGTGTCTGTGCGTGTGTCTGTGTGTGCGCACGTGCACATGCTGCTTGGTTCTTTCCTGTGGCTCTGTTCCCTGTCTTGGGGTCTCCTCTCCTTGTATCTACAGCAGGTACAGACCAATCAGTACTTGGCTGAAGGCTTGAGGGGACTCAGAAGCTCTACATATCTCTACAGCTCTCTCCTCTGCATGAGATATCACACTCCAACCTTTTGCCCCACGGCTGTGGCCACCCTGAGAGGGGCCTCCACCCAGCACAGGAACTGACTTTAGTCACTAACAAACAAGACTCTCTGTGTCTCTCTGCGTACTCTCTGATGGTGAGCAGAGAGACAGAAAATTCCAGTCTGAGAAGGCAAAGGCAGTCACAAGCTCAGGCCCCTCAGGGATGAGGGTCTGAATCGCAGCCTTAGACGGGATTCATCCAACCAAACACTGAGACTAGCAGAGGTGTGTTGTGAGGGTGGGAAGGAACCAAACTGGCACTGAGGCAGTGGTGAAAACATCAAGTATCAGCCGTGGCCTTACCATGCGAGCAACACCCTAGCAGGGGCCGTGATCCATCCACTAACCTCCACACTGACACATTCCGAGGAAGACAAGTGCCCAGCGGCCTAAGGAGCCCCTACAAAAACATCTAATAAACGTGTCTCTGAGCTGGGCTGGGGTGGTGCACACCTTTTTGGGAGGCAGAAGCAGGCGCATCTCTATGGTCAAGGCCAGCCTGGTTTACAAAGTAAGTCCCAGGACAGCCGGGATGGTTACACAGAGAAACTCTGTCTTGAAAAACAAACAAAAAAAGTGACTCTGAGTGAGACAAGAGAATTGTGGACTCTGAGTGGCTCCATGAGCCTCTTTCCTACAGACTCTCCTGTCGCTGGCAGTTCTCTCTGTCTTGCCCGGTACTGCTGGACCAGCTTCTTAAGTATTCCAGGTGCTGTCCTCAGGAGGCCTCCTATGGTGTCTTCCTGTGCTGGTTCTACTGGGCCTCTGTGCTGCGTCTCCACGTTCAGCTCTTCCCCAGTGGCCTACAGTGGGTTGTTGGAGCCCTCGCCAATACACCAAAACCTAGGTCAGGTATAGGAGCATGAAAGCTCAGTTCCTGTAGAACTGGTCACATCTGCATCACAGTCCACGCCCTTGCTGGCTCAGGCTGAGGCGCACCGCCTCCCTGACTGCTCCATGCTTACTTAGTGGCTCATATATATGCTCGTGAATCCTCAGGAAGACATCAGCAAGGCTGGATACATGCTCAGCGGCAGGACTAGACTCCAGATGTTGACAAAGAGCCTGGGAAATGGAAACCAGGTCCAACCCCTAACGCTGTTGCAGACAGATGTGTTGAGGAGCTCGGGCGCTGTGCCCAAACTGCTCAGAATTTGCTAGAAATGTAACAGACTCAGACCAGCGCAATCATCTCAAACAAAAAGAACAAAGTGGGAAGAGTTACAATTTCTGGATTCAGCACTGACTTCAAAGTGACAGCCACCATGCCGGATGAGGACAGATCAATGGGCGAAGAAATTAATCCATAAATAAACCCTGCTATTTATAGTCAGATTGATTCTTGAAAATGGTGCCAAGAAGTTCCATGGGAGAAAAATGGGCCTCTCAACATATCTCTGCAACCATCTGATATCCACAATCAAAAGAATAAAGATGAACCCTCCCCCCGACACCACACATAAAAATCAGCTCTGAGTAGATCGCAGACATAAATACGAGACCCGGAGCTAGCAACACACAGGCAAAATTCTCAAGACTACAGGTTCGGTGACTCCCCCACACAAAATACAAGTAGTGGATGCTCCCAGCAGCCCAGCATCAAAGACTCCAGCTGCAGATGACATGCCCACAAAGAAAAGACAGTCTGGCAGGAGAGGCCAGCATATAGCATCATCCATCTGATAAGCATTTGCATCAAAGCGCAAAGAAATAACTCTTAAAATGAAACAAAACCATAAAGATTTCTGCATGGGGTACTGCTCTGTAAACAGCTTCCACATTGCCACTCCTATTCTTTCAGCCAGAAAAAAAAAAGTTGATGTGTTGGAGATCAGAGGCTATTCTTGGACCTGCCAGAGCTGAAGACAGGGAGTCACAGTGCCCCCAAATCTACAGAGGACAACAGAGTCCCTGAGCTGACACTAGTGGATCAAGAGCTGTAGGAGCAATTCCTGGAGGAACCCCGAGGCTGTATTCCTAGGGTACCACCACTCACCCATTCCTTTGTGGGCTTCATTCCAGGAAGCCAAGAAGTATTCATGGAGGACCCAGAAAGGTTCCCCACTTAGAAGAAGAGGAAAGAACTGCCAGGTGAAACACACCCAGAGTCTCCCCTGTAGAAGTGAAATTGGTTGTCCAAGGGAAAATCCACTGTCGTGGGGAGGAGAACTTTCTGAGAGCACACTCTGCTAGCCTTGGCATCACCTGAGGGGAGGGAATGAGCTGGGAAATGTTGGTGAAGGTGCACACGTTAATACAAACTATAGACTCTCCCTAC